AGATCTCCATCATTTCAGTGTGGATTTTTTATCCAGGTCAGACCCAGAAGTGGCAGGTGCCACGGTGGGATTCTTTTGGAAGAAAGACAGCACCGTGGGCGTTATGTCATCGAGCCACTGATCCTCTAGAACCCAACAAAAGCCTCCAAACACATCTTCAAAAAATCTCAAACATCGGATTCGGGCCTTCTGACGTTCCACTCACTTTGATGATCTCTGACTCCGGAGAGACCCAGTACCCCGTCCCCTCTCACTCTCGGACTCTCCCGTCCGGACCTCGCGTCGCGTCGCCCTCGTGGCAGGACTCCGGGAAGCTCCCGTGCTGTGACCTGGTCCAATCGGTTGAAAGGGCGGGAGAGAAGACGCCCCATCTCGGTGGAGAGGGGGGCTCGTCTCTAACGGAGCGCAGTGACTGGGAGGTCGGGGCTTTGAGTAGAGATGTCCAGAACATTTTGGATGCGACAGAAGGGTTGCTCTTTTTGTGTTTCTCGATTGTCTCGGTTGAGCTGAGGAGACTCCACCAACGGCCGGGTCTCTCAGCACGCTCTTTTCAGTGCTCAAATGAGCAGTCAGAGTGTTGGCCACCTGAGTCAGTGATCAGTTGGGATGTTCAATCTAATTTCTGGAGATTTTTCTGCTGGCTGCTTCCTGCAAGTCTTTGTCACAGGATGACCTCATCCGGTTCGCAAGGGCCTTTGGTATAGGAACCTGATTGTGCAATGGCACTCGACAAACGTTGGCTGGTAGCGGAAAGTCTTTTCAATATTTGCAGAAGTTGAGAGTTTTTTTGGATCCTGTGTGCACAGAGGCCTTTAGATCACAGCGATGGGAGCATCGATCATGCTGTGCACATTTCTCATTGCGGATGGTTTCCAACTGTTTTTACTTTGCAAGTATTGATCAACATCAGCAATCAAGTATTGATCAACATCAGATCAAGATCAACATCAACAATTCATCAGCCACAAGTGCCAGCGTCACACATGGATTTGGTCGTTCCCGGGCTACCGCTACTGAGTGAACCGCTACCGAGGCAGCCCCGGCGTACCTGACACCAACACTCCAAGCACCCTTGAGCGGAACTGGCAGTCAGGTGCTGTCAACACAGAATGGTGTGGGGTTCAGCGAAGATTGCGACTCAGAACTTAGAAGTGGCTGGCAACGTAAGGGAAGAAAGGATAAGCAAGGATGTGCAACTGAAGCTGGCCAAGACTTTTTGTTCCTCAGCATCTTCAGTAAAGGCTCAACTGGCTGTCAAAATATTTCACAGGCGCTGACAACAACTCGCAGTGCAGGGAGGGAGGTACAAACTTCTATGGAGCGTGCCTTTCATCCGTTGGCCAGGCGAAAGAACGAAAAGAGATGACTTCCTTTGAGAGGCCTTTTGTACTGCATCGCAGCCAAGCCACTTCCAATTTGCACCGTTGTACAGGGCAAATCAAGACACTATAGATGAGGTTGTTCTCCCAGGGCAGGGGGGCTGGGTTCACATCATCATCTCCCTTTCTTTCCTATTTAGCTGCTTGTGCATCATGTCTATGTGCTCTGTCAGGCAGCCCCACTGACAATTGCAGGGCGTAGTAAGTACATAGTCAGACATGAGTTTTGTGTATCTTTCATCTTTGTTTGACGGACAGTGCTTGGCTCTTTGATTCTCAACTGAAGTCACAAGTGGAAGACATGATCATGCTGAGACAACTGAGTGTTCAGACAGAATAGGGAGACTCCAGCGCGACCTCCACGAAGAATCAAGCACCAAACCCATGAACAAGGGGGGCATTTTCCTACTTGAGCTACTCACATCAGTATGCACCCATTTCTTGCCCAACCTGCGGAGCGTCGACATGCCAGCCGACATTTTGTTCAGGCAAAGCAGCGCAGCCTCCGAAGGGCAAGGGTCTCAGATGGTCACTAGCAAACCATCCAATCTTCCAAGTTATGGACATTTGTTATGAAAGAACCGTTAGTTTCGGGCCACCAATCCTCCCGTTTTCACACCAATCCCTACCGTTTTTCCAGTTTCGCCCGAGGCGAGGGCAGTTCGCCATCGACGTGCAACTCTTGGAGTGCGTGCAACGGCACGAAACGGTGAAGGCGAGAGATCTTATCGCCGAAACGGAGTTGAGAATCGAGCGATGAAGGGCCGTCCAGTCCTCCAACTCTCGGTCTAGTCCATTTGGACGCTTTTTCTTGAGTTTTGAAAAGAAGTCCCCTAAACTCGTTTTTGGAACTGTGCGCGTGCGGCTCGCTGTTTTGGCCCTCGCTGTTGCTCGTGTTGGAGCCGACCATGCGCACACGACCAGCAGCGTGCGGTGCGTTCCTTTTCGGTTCGCCAGGTGAAGGAATTGTTGAAGCAACGGGCGGATGTCGTCCTGCCATGTTTCATTTACGCCGCTCCGGCAGTTTCCCACCCAGCACGATGGTTTGAACAGAGAGGCAATCTGTGTAAGCTGTTTTGATGCTTGCACCTTGATATACATATGATGCATATGATGCAAGTGAAGTGATGGTATTTTTTCGCATCTCCAGCACCAGCAGAGTATTTTCCTAGAGGTGGTATTGTTGCGCAATCCAGTTGCTTCTGGTGTCACTGGCATAGGGTTGTTGCTGGTTCCAATACAATGCTTTGGAATGATCCCTGTTCATCTCCATGTAGTCAAAGGCGTTTGCTTGCATGGTGTCTTTTTGAGACTTGAACGACGGCAGTGTCAAGATCTTGACTCCACTTCGTTGGATTTTCTGGCAGGGGTAACAAGAGCGCTAGAACAGTGCTTCGATCTCACAGAAGTTCATGGCCCTTGCTGTGCTTACAAAACGCTTGTTCGACAATGGCGCATGGGATGGAGTTGGTCTCGTTCGGTCCATACAGACGTGAATGCAGACGTGAAGTGAATACGTCGCGAGCTCCGTGAGTCCACCAGAGCCATTTGGAGCTCAGTGAGTCCACCCTCATCTCGCCTCATCCCGCCTCATCCCGCCGTCATGTTCTGGTTTTGGGCCGCGACACACGCTGCGCTCTGCGCGGCCTCGGCCACCGTCTTCGCCTACGGCGCGGGCGCGTTGGCGGAGGCTGCGATCGAGCAGATCCAAGATGCGCAAATCGAGGGGTTGAGGGAAGACTTCGAGGCGGCCCTGGAGCGATCCTACCAGTCCTACTTTGGAGTACATGGTCCCGTGAGGAAGTATCTCAATGTGGTGACCAATTCTTCTCCCTTCGTGGTTCAAGCTGCTGCCATGGCCTTCTGGGCTTATGATTTAGAGTACTTTGAAGAACGATGGGCTTCAGAGGATTGGGCTGGTGGTTGGCAGGTTGTGAAGAAGTACATCAACACTACGAGCAAGTCTTTGGCTCCCGGATTAGACGTGGTGGCACTCTTCCGTCGTGGCGATGAATGTGTCCTATCCTTTGCTGGAACCACCGGCTTGGCAGATTGGACCACCAACCTGAATATCAAAAGTCTGCAAAGTTTGCCTGCATGTGGCTTGCGCAACGTCCATGAAGGTTTCTTCGAAGATTTCCTGCAGTTCATGCTGGGCGATGCCTGGAGCGATGGCATGGAACCCGAAATCTTATCAGAATGTGGAGGACGTTTGTCAGTTGCTGGACACTCTCAATGCTGAATTTTCTGCGGAACACCTCCAGTTCCACCCAGTTTGGGAAAATTCAACACCAACTAACCAACTCGTTTGATTGGGACATCCACAGCAAAAGAGAGTCCTTTCCTTTCAGACACCATCCCACAGTGAACCACATCCGGTTTCCCGATGTCCAACCATGTCCAAGCCACCCACACATCCACCATCATCCACCCATCCGAGCGGCGGAAGCACCGCCTGAAGAGGTGGGGCCTTAGCCGAGATCTTTGCCACGTGCGTCAATCGGGTTGACTGACTGGGTGGCCTTACCCGATTTATGGCGCTGGGGAACCCTGGTGCATCCAGGGCGCAACGTGTCCACGCGCGTGACCGTGACAGGAGCGGTAGAGGGAGAAGTGGTAGAGGGTATTATTGGGGCCGTGGGCCGCCGTAGTGGAAAGGGAAGTACATCAGTGCAAAAACATCATTTGGATCCCCCAAAAAGCAAACCAAGTACATCAAATCCAAGTGGGAGGTAAATCTGATGGCCAAGATGCTGTGAGTGGTCTGAGTGGCTTGAGTGGTCACAGCAGGACTTTATGGCATTGCTTCACCAGGGTGCACTATCAACTATCAACTTGAGAACATCTTACCGGGTGGAGTGTTCCCTGGCGTGCGGCTTTTCAACATGGACGCCGTGAGCTTTGACCCCGTGCCATGGATCACGGTGCTGCTGAATTTCCAACATGCGAAGTCCCAGGCGATCCAACTGGTTCCAAAAGGGCAACAGTTGGTAAAGCATGAGGGAGGTACCTTTGATGCCCGCTGGCAGCCCTTGACGTCTGCCATCCTTGGCAAATCCATCTCCTTCAAACATCATCTGGGACCAGAGTACATGCGACGGATCTTGGCCTTTAATCGAGAAGTGTCAATCACCATTCTGGCGGGTCAGAACTTCTCAGTGGAATGTGTCTTGGGTGGAATGAATCCATACATTGAGGTACAGGTCATGAAGGGTGATGAGGATGACAAAGATGACAAGGATGAGGAAGAGTCCAAGGAAGAGGTTGAAAAATATTTCACGAGCATCAAGAGGGTCAGCCCTGACTCCATGAGCGAAGATGCATTCGTTCTTTGGAACGAGTCGTTCTTGCTCAGCAGCTACGAGCCCGGCAAGGCCATTCAGCTGTCCGCATGGAATGACTGTACCTTCGACTTCAAGATGGGAAGTGTGGTGTTGCCCAGCGACCAATTCGATCCGAGTGGGTTCGCTGCTGCATGGATTTCGTTGGAGGGAGTTCAGTTGGAGATCTCCTTACAGATTGAGCACCTGCAGTTTTGAGGGCCGGTTTTAATTTGGCTCGCTTTTGTTGGAAGGCTGACAGCCACTTGAGCTTTCCACAATTCATCCAGAAAGTGAGATCAAAATCTTGGACTTCCTTTCTGGGGCGCATGTTTTGTATAGTACAGCCAAGCCAACATGCTCTGAGCTCTGAATTCCCAAAGTCAGTCAGACTAACCAGGGTGACAGTGACAATCTGGCGCTGCCAAGCAAGCACTTTCATTGCCCGAGTCAAAACGCCTGGATCCACGCCGAGATTTGCGCAGGATGAAGTCTCCGATTTGGTAAAGGTTCACGGCGTGTGAAAACCAGAACCCCCCAAAAACGTGATGATTGACCTGCCCGGTAGTTCATTTGGTTCATGTTCAGAGGTCAACCGAACCATCCAGGATTTTGATGAACCCCGGAATCCCTTCAAAAATGCTTGACGCGGCTGCGAAGACAAAGCCTTTTTTTAAGCACTGCTTTCCTTGGCAGGTGAACTTCCAGGAGGGAACGCCTTACTTGCGTACGCCTTTGCACTTGGCCGTCGGGGCCCTTTGCTTGAGCTGACGCATCCGAGCTGCTTGTATTTGGAACCCAAAAAAGTGAGTCTCTGAACAGCTGAGCCACAGCTCAGCCGACCAAATCCGCCAGACAAACATCAAACACCTCGCATACCTCGCCACCGCTCAAATTCTTGCGCCCGAACCACCTCGCTGAATCGATTTTTTCCCCTGGGCCCCAAATGGAACCACCACACATGACCAAAACCGGTTCGCCATGCTGCCCGACGCCATGTCAGCTGCTTCGCCGTGCCTCAGGTTGAGAGTGGTGGATCAGTTGACGAGGTCGGACACTTGCTTCAGGCCGTCGACCATGTCGACCATGTTGGCTGTCGTGAGCTTTGTGAGCTTGGTGAGTGGGTTTCGAAGCATCCCGGAGTAGAGAGGTAACAGAAGAACATGTTTGCAGCAACCTCTCAAATGATCATTCTTTCAAGGTCTTTTGGATTTCTAACGCCGGATGGACCGTGCGCTACGACATCTATCCCAGCCCAATATGGGTACTGTACAATCTTTTTTTCCATACACTATAGTGGTAACATCTGGTAACTAGGAAAACATGTCCTCCTGAGGTAAAACTGGGCAGCCACTTGGTTCTTGGCCTTGGTCATCAAATGCAGAAACATCTTCTGATCTGGCTCTAGCCCGGAGAGCTCAAACTCACTCTTTCAACACTCGGAGGCTGCAGCCAATGTGAATGCTGTGATGGCACAAGGAAAGACTCCCTTGCATGTGGCCATCCAGCAGTGCGCCCCTGCAGGCCCTGCAGGACACAGCCCAAATATGGCCCGTATGGCTTAGTGGGACCGGAGGAGGAGCCATGGAAAAGCCGCGTGGAAAAGCCGCGCCTTGGTTCGTGCCATCCACGGTGTGGCGAATCCCGGCAGGTACCGGAGAATCCCGGCAGTGGCCATTGGGATGCTGCCTCTTGAACGCAGCAAGAACTCTGTTTTGGGACGTAGAAGGCTTCTTCAGTGGGTAGGTGGCCAGGCCAGGCCAGTGGCCTACCCTTTGGATGTTGGAGGTTTCCGGATGGGAAAAAAAGAGAGAGTACCGAACAAGGACCAATTCTTCTTTTCTCTTGCTCTTGAAATTTCCAACGGATTGGCTGCATTTGATGAGACATAAGCGCTGAGACATCTGCGCTGTTCCCAGGCTTTGTAGCAAGGCCAAGCCAGATGCCAAAGATGCAAGGCCGCGCGACCGTGCACCATACCGAAGCGCTGTCAAGCGCGTCTGACACCCTGAATGGAACAACCAAAACGAAACACCCAAACAAAGAAACAACGCACACACACACAGACATGCTTCCTTGAGAAGAAGCTAATCAGAGCGTGGTTTCAGGTGTTACTGGTACGAGAGACTCACACACATGCACCCTACGGATCCCCGCCGTGCCGCTGAGTATACCGTGTATCGCGGTCACGCTGTGCCAGCAACAAGACGCCCATGGATTTGGTGAAACAGGTGTTCGGACAGCTCGGGACCCCAAGATGCTGGAGCTGCTCTTCAGAGCTTTTGGACCTTCCATGGCGATTCTGGTGTGAAGTGAGGTGTAAAACGATTCGAGGAGTCTGTGGATTAAAACAGGAGATGGCCATTCTGGTCAGGTGGTTGTATCAATCAACCTCCAGATCATTATGAAGACTTGATTCCTTTCGGTTCAAAAGATGTTGCTCTGAAACGCTGGAGACCTGAGGCTATCTGCGAGGGGTCCAGACAATCAACCGCTGCTGTCTTCTGCAGATAGTGCGAAGGCTGGTCCATGCTGGACTTGAAAATGTGCTTCAAGGCATGTCTACACTATGCCAATGGGGTAGAATCTCCTAGCAACCTTCCGGCATAGTCTCGCGAGTCTTGTTTTCCGCCACTCCTCCTCGCTGAGTTCACCACCCTGTCTCGCCGCAGCGAGATCGAGGCACGGCAATTGCTGTCGTTTGTCATGGACCAACGAATGGTGGCATTCAACTTGCAGAGCCAGGCGCAACTGGGTCCAATGGTCCAATGGTCTGACACCTCGAAGGAAGGGAAAAGCTTGGACGAATGGTAAGTGGAAGGGTCATATTTCGAACCCAGAGTTTGCGCCCAGGGCAATGGATTTGATCCTCTTTTGGAACGGAAGGGAAGTCTACGGTCAGAATACAGTGTCCAGAAATGGTTCTTCGTTTAAGGTCCAAAAGATTCCAAAAGTAAGGCCATTCAGACCATGAATGCTTTGCGCATGCAAAGGCAGGGGGTGATATATAACATGCAGTTTCTTTTTTGATTTGAGGATTTTTCCAAGCAATGAGCTCCAGGATTGGTCAAATGAGTCAAAGGCATAGCTCTTTTATCGTGAGCTGTGAGCTGTAGGACTTAGCATTTTTCACATGGAAGCTTTGCCCTCTGAAAAAGAATGAAAAAGAAGGTTTCATGGAGTGCAAAGCCGTTTCAGGGAGTTTGATGGAAGTCTTGGCCTCTAGTCCACACTTACCTTCCTTTTCGGTCCTGCCTTGGCCAGGAGGTACAAGGTGTGCATTTTGCAGCTGGGAGACCCAGTCCGAAAGAGGAGAATGCAGCCCAAAGCAAGCAAGAAAGAAGAGACCCCTCTGAGAGGCATCTGTGATCTGTTGTTTCCAATTTGGAGTCCTCAACATCCACCGTCCGTTTACTTCGACTGCAAGAGAAGGGTTTCGAGGACTGCGACCGCCCCTTCTCGTCTCGCCTTCTCGTCTCGCCTCGTGACCGCCTTCTCCTTGCGACCGCCGCGGTCACCTGGAAGACCTCGAGTCGTGGCGACCGTGCCGTGCTCCGTGGCCGCGCCGGCTCCCGCACCGCCGCACCGCCCGCGGTTCTCTTCACGGCCGCGAATTCGCCGCACCACGAAGCACTGGAGGACGTGGAAGGTGATAAGTTGGTCTACGACACCAAGTCCGGTGTCGGCCTGCCGGAATCCTCAAGTTTCGACGAGCTTCCTCGACGGACCGAGGGGAGGTGAGCGGATAGATGGTGACGAGGGGGTGGATGTTTCAGGGACGACGTGGGTTCTTTGGCGGAGCGGAGTAAGTGGCGATTGATGGATGAAGATGGATGAAGCAGATTCTTTCTTCGCCTCGAAATGTCACCTTTTTCAGGCCTGGGTGCCTCTGGGGGGGGGGAGTACGCTGTGCCGACAATTCGTCACGGAACCCTCAAGGCGAGTCGTGGGTTCTGGGACGCGCGAGTCGCGGGAGCGCAGGGTGTTTTCACCGATGTGCCAGGCATGCTTCGGGTGAAAAACACCGTGCACTGCAAATATAGCGTTTAAGAATGTCTAAGAGACCAAACCAGTTTTGTGGATCGCCTTTGACTTGCACAATTTGTAGTGCCGTGGCTCTTGGTTTTGGAGACTGGGGAGAGAACTGTTTGTATGCTTCCTCCCGCAGAAGAGCTCCAAAGACTACAATTCGTTCAAAAAGCAGACATCGTGACGTCAAAAAGCAGACATCGCCCCCAACATCATGCTGAGGTTCCCAGCGAGGTGGTCGGTTCAACAGCATGTTCGGTTGGTCAATCAGGGTTCCAATTTCGCTCTGGACACCCCGTGGCCGCCCGATAAACGTCGGTTCAGATTGCGTCGTCTGAGTGATCGTGGCTGCCATCATCGCCGTGGCAAGGTACAGTGTGAAATCGCAGCGCGCGTTGTTTTTCAAGCTGCTCGGTGGCAAGATGTGTGATCTCTGTGACCTGTGTGACCATGTGCAGTTGCTGAAATCATGGAAAACCTCCCGCTGTCTTCGGAGCACCGACCAGACGGACAAGGATGTTTGCAGCAACTCTGAAAATGGCAAGCTAGTAAGTTCACTGAGCGAGTGTCACAAGAATCCATAGCTGTTGTTCTCCGTGGTTGAAGGAGCTGGAGGGACCGTAATCTTGTTGGGTCTTTGATGCATTTGGGAGAGATTCCAAGCTCATCGCCCAGGAATCTGAAGCAAAAGCGATGCTGACATGTTTACCCAGGTTCTCATCGTTGTTTCCTCTCTGAGGAGTCGTCTAGCTCTCGACTCTTTGGGTCCGGGTGCGGATGGTCGAGAGTCATGCGATGTCGCGCTGAACTGGTTACTGTACCCCGCGCTGAAACCCCACGGTATGCAGAATAATGTTTTGGGATTCAGGAAGCTGCTATAGAACAGGCTTGCTGCTGCCATCATTTTGAGTCTGGGTTCCTGATCTTGCTACAGGTGGATCATCCACATGTAGAGAACAAATCAGGTCCACTGCGGCTCTTCTCGGTCCAGGTCTCAACTGTGTTTGGGTGAGATTTTGCCAGGAATGAAGGCAGCGTCTACAACGTGGCAGTGAATCCTGAAACCGGGACCGTTGCAGTTGAGGGCCTCAGGAAACGAGATTCCATTTCTATGGGCGATTTAGAGTTGTGAGGTGAAGTGAACAGAGCATGCCAGTGAAGTCTTCTGGGTTGCCATATGTTGCCATTGTCCACTTATATCCACTTATCCACTTACACCATTTCTATCCTTTTCCTATATCAAATAGATGTATATACATTGTTTTCCAAGAAAGCAGCTATCGAAAGCATGGCCTACTGTACCCTGCCGTTCCGGCCTTCCGGCCTTGAGGCCTGCTTGCAATTTCAGCAGGACGCTCCTAAAGCGCAGGTGACCGGGCGAGTGACATGGCGTGCCGTGCTGCATGGCGCGACTCGACAAATGCGACTCGCCCGGAGGAAACACGGCGAGTCTTCCGATGCAAAGCTGTGATTTGGTCGACCCACTGAGATGTTCGTTTTTTGGCACAGAAACTCGAAGCCAATATACTGACTTTCCTCCACAAAAGGGTCTTCTTTGGTTGTTTTACCGTCTTCACCTTGCGCCAAATCCGTACCGGGAGGCGAGTCCACAGAGTGTGATCGTCATGGTGATTTGGCACCTTGGACCCATGAAGACGTCGGCTGACGTGCCGTTCCGGGTGCGCACGCGCGCTTTTCGGTGGTCAGGTTTGGGTACCCCCCCTGCGCTCACCCCGAAAGGCGTAATTAGGCGGTATTTTGTTTGGTTATTTTCCACCCCACAGGGCGGAAAGCATGATGCAGGCGCGAAAAGCGCGCAGCAGCAAAGGATGTCTTGGGACACCACGACATGATGTTTGCATCACGAAGGATTGTGCAAGTACTGGGTGTGGAGATAGACAGATAGATCTATATATGACAAATACAAAATCTTATATGAGAATCCGACAAACAAGTGCGAAGACCAAAGTAAGTCCTTGGACTTAGATACAAGATTTCGTCCGGCACTCGTGCACAGACTACAGTACGACTTTACTTTGGTTTCCAGATGGATGTCATGACTCGTGGCCCGTCCCTTTCACGCCAACCTCCACAGAGCTCCGTTTCACCCCGGCCAGCTGACCGCGCGCGCCTTGCCCGGCAGCTCCGTTTCCGCGGCCGCGATGGCCGGAGGCCCAATGGCAAGCTCCAGCACGAAGAGCCGCTGAAGTTGAGGCTTCCACCCACCACAGGCCTGGTCGAACGCTCGGGGATATCTGGGTCCAACCGGTTGGTGTTCGCAGGTACGATATTATAACGTCACATCTAGTGACATGGGGCCGAAGAGTGTACGCAAGTCAACGAACAGGACGTGTAAGGTGGACGTGAAATTGACTGATTTGTGAGAAAACGTGACTTGGAACTGGAGTGGTGTTTACTAGTGACAACTAGCAAGTTGCTGCTTTTTGCATTATTTCCAGGTGTTCGTTCGACATAACCCCTTGAAAAAGGCAGATCCACTTGAAGTGAACTTGGCCATCTGGCGGTTTCGGACCGGGGGGTGAGCCTCCAAACACGATATTCTTCGCCAATCTGGGGAGATGTGCGAAGACGCACTGTGTCACGTCTGGTGAGCGATGCCGTCGTGGTGCCAGTTCCTGCAGACCGAGAGCTTCTGCCGCCGATGGTGCGCCTGCCATTCCATTCGACACAACGAGCAGGGGAACGAGAAGATTAAAAAGCATCTAGGCCTTTTTCTTCAGGACATCTTCTCAACTCAGCAGATCGGTTTCAGGCGGCTCTTCGCGGATGCATAGGATGCCCGTGCCAGGTGACCATGTCCCGCACACAGGGGACCTCCATTGTAATTGGCCGCCTGGCGGATGGTCAGGCGGAGGGGAGGAGGGGGTGGAACGTGTTTTTCGACGATGCAGGTCCAGAGAACGGACAGCTAAGTGTTGTTTTGGAACTCTGAACTCAAAGTTTGTTGTGCAGAGGACAAAAGGTGGTGACTTGCCAAGTGCAAATGTTCCCTTTGGTTGGAGCTGAAATACCATTGCTTTGGAGAGTTCATTGTTGGTGCAGAGTCTTGCGAACCGAAGTGGTGCAGGTGTATTGCTGGCAATTGAACTCTGCCAGAAGCCAACTCGTCAGCGAGGCTGTGACTTGCTTTTGTGGTTCTTGGGGAAGCTCTAGGAACTGCTATGTTGGGGATATTTTTCCTACTTACTGTAAATGGGGCAAGCGCCAACTCAGGCCAAGGTTGCTCATAATTTGTCAAGGCAGATGACCGAAGCGGTATGTCTCTTGGAAATTACCTGAAGTCGTCAACAATTCAGGTTCGCATGTCGAAGAAAGAAGGCCACTAGATGCCACTGGCCACTCATCACACCAAGCGACCCTTTTGGAACATCGACCCAAAACAGAAACACATATATACTCTCAACCACCCTAAGAATCCTTGGGCCCTCCAAAAACCCCGGGCTCGGACCAGCTCCGCCCCGAGCTCTCCGCTGCCCCGCCCGTCGCAGGTGAAGCTGGCTGTTTGTGCCGGTGCCTTGGCATCCTCGGACGATGGCGCGTGGGTGTGCTTCGCCAACAAGGCCGCCCTGCACGTGGCCGGAACCGCGGAGCACCGCGGAGCACCGCGGAGCATCGCGCTTGGCGGTTCGCGCTTGGCGGTTCGCGCTTGGCGGTTCGCGCTTGGCCGTGGGGCGGAAAGAGTTTGTTTTGGTGTGATCCTGGTGAAAGGATTTGCGGATTCGGAAGAAAGTGACACCTGCCCGTGTGTTTTGCATCTCCTTTGTTTTGGATGGACTTCTCAGGATGCAAGTCATTTGCTGTTTATTTCATTGGTCCACTTGCAGGAAACTGGCCATATTGATGTATTTACGTGCTGAACTCAGATGGCTTCTGAGGAGATTGGTTGGAGATTGGTTGGAAAACAGAACAAAATCAAGCCAGCATCCTGCATTGACGTGTTTTCACAATATTTTCATGCTGCAGCCATTTTGGCGCCCGATTTTCATTGAATGTTTCGATAGTGTACCCGTAGCGGCTGCTGCGACCCCTGCAGCAGGTCGCCAGCATGCTCTCCTTAGGCTACCCAAAAGACGTGCTTGGTGACACTCAAAAGTACAAAGCAAATGACATCTTGGACGAGACCAAAGTGGTGGACCGAAGTGCGTTGGAGAAGCGCACCGTGCAGGCGCCACGGGACTCGGAAGCTCCAGTGACGACTCCCAAGCTACAGAAGGCCACAGAGGCTCCTGCGCACGATGGTGTTCTGTTTGGACCGGATGGCATGCCTTTGCAAGACGATGCTCCCGTGGAAGAGGACGAGGAGGGTCACCTCCATGCCAAGTTGGCCGCTCACCAGAAGGTGGAGCTTCATGACCAGGGCTGGTTTCATGCCGAAAGCAATCGCTATGAGCAGGAGGAATTGGCCAAGATGCACATCATGACCCTGAGCTCCGCCGTGGCGGATCGGGAGAAGCAAGGCAGTTTGCGGGATGGACGTTGGGTGAACAGCCCCCATGAGTTTGCGGACTTGGGCCTCACTGGTACGGTGCTCTCCAATGCGCTTGTGCCCTTTCCACCCAATGACCAGCACCCCCTGGTTTGCTTTGGGCCGCTTTTTACTTTTTTTCCCAAATCACGGCACATGCCCCAAATCTGGGAATCTACAACCTCTTTTCGGGGCTCTAAATAGACACCCCTTAATCCTTGGTACCCTGGTTTTTGGGGGAACACGCTCTTTTTGCGACTCCGCGTCCAACACATTTGCCGCGACCCCCAAGGCAGTACTACATCGCCGGCAAGTACGATCCTGCCCATTCCCTCTTGGCTCCCACAGCCGTGCCGAACTTCGCGCACAACGGGGTCTCCAGCAGCACCTGGTTGAGGTTGGTTGACTTTGCTCAGCATGCGGATGCGGTACATCTCTTTGATGAGTTCTCCTGCAAGACCCATTGCGGCCGCATCTATCAAGGCTCCTTGGACAATGGCTACTTTGTGGAAGCCTTGCAGGCCATTTCTTTGCGTCCCAAGTTGGTGAAGCAACTCTTTTACGCTTGGCAGACCCGGCGATCCATTTACATCGCCCGGCTGTTCAAGCACGGGACCTGGATGAGGGTCGAGGTCGATGACTATGTGCCGGTCGGACGGCCGGGCAGGAACGACGCAGATGGGAACCTTCCGATTTGCTGCCGATCAGAGCACTTCCCCAATGTCATTTGGCCAAGCCTCATTGAGAAGGCTTATGCCAAGATTCACACCCTGCGCCTTTCAGCCAGTGCCATCTCTGAAGATGATATGGGAGGATGGGAGGCCATTGGTGGGGGTGGCAAGGTTGAAGATGCCTTGGCCGACCTTACAGGTGGGGTCGCGGGTCGCTTCTATACCAAGGATGTGTCTCCAGATCGCTTATTCATCTACATCCACGACTTGCAGCGGGATACGCTCTTCGTGTGTCGGCCAAATCAAACTCTTTGCGAACTGCAAGGGGTGAGGTTGAATCCGTACTATCCCTATGCTGTGAACAGAGCTGTCCAGTGGGAAGGTGGCCTTTACTACCAAGTCTTTTGTGGAGGTCCAGGTGTACATGATGGGGGCTTGCAAGACATCACGGTCCCATATACTTTGTCTCATGGGGACATGTATCCTGAGAAGCGTGAAGATGGCTTCTTTTGGTTGAACGCCGAGGACTTCCATGAGTACTTTGGCACCATCTTCGAGTGTCGACTGGTGAACTCCGGCGATGTGTCTTTACCCAACATGCCACCTCCCCGTTTCGAGCTGGTGAGACCACCCCCCACAGAGCTCTCCTTGATGGCCAGTGGCATGATGATGCCAGGTATGATGCCTCCTGAAATGGCTTCAGGCATGAGCCCTTCCGAAAGTGCCGATGCAAATGAGCTCCAGCGGAAGGGCGTTCAGCATGTGGGTCCCGATGGTGCCCCTCTGGCGTGGTACGAGTGGATCTTTGCGAACCCTGGGGAGGTCGTGCGGATGACTGAGCCGGAGTTCGTGGTCTCGGTCCCGCAGAATGCTGTACCATGTGAAGTGGTGTGTGCCATCGAACAATTCGATCCCCGGATGTTGATGAAGAAGCCTGGCAGGCCTGAGGCGGTTCCCATCCTTTGTAAGGTCTATGAGAAAGTGGATGGCGAGAACCTCTACAGCCGCTTGCCTCACTTATGTAGTAGAGCCTTTTGGGCACTCGTTGAACTGCCTTTATTTTCTTCAAGCCTCATCATGACCATAATTGGCCCCTTACTGTAAGGAAGACTTTCCTTGAAGCAGGTGGGTGGAATCCACCAAAAGGGATGGTTCTCCTCCAAACCATGCCTGAAAACCCAACAAAATCATGTCCTTTTTGTGGCGACCAGTCCGTCAGAAAGCTCAAAAAGCACCGACCAGACCGCCAGTCCCTCTTTCCCACCGACCTCGCGGTCCCCTTTCGGTCATCCCCTTTAAACGGGACGTGGTAGACGCCAGGTCATCAACTGGTGTGCCGTTCGAACTGGATCTCCGTGAGGGATGCCATGGTCGCCTTCAGCGTGACCCGTGGTGGCGAGTACCTGATCACTGCAGAGCTGCCTCAAGAGACCAGCCACGTCGAGCGGATGATCTTCAGGTCGTGTCGAGCGCCGAGCGCCCCTGATCGCTCGCGCGCTGATCCCTCGCGTGGTTGGCGCGCGATGGCGTCCCACCCAGAAACGGAGGAGGAAGACGTTTCTTGAGATTCTTACGTCATTTGTATCCAGAAAATGACAACGGAAGACGGTCCGGGAATCCACCCATAGAAGATGCTTTCTTTCATGTTGGGTTGCATGTTCCGTTCGCACCAAACCTCGCTCTGAAACCTCTCCCTCTCCCTCTCTCTGCAACCCGTTTCGACACCACGGACCGCCGTTCGACGTCGCCTCTTGCCGCCCGAACGCGGTCGGTCGCAGGTGCTATGCTTCGCAGCCCTATGTGCAGGTGGCCGCCCATCGCATGACACGGAAGCATTACCTGGTGGAGTCCCGTCAGCTTCCCGGAGCCGCGCGGTGGTCCTTTGTGGGGCTGATGGAGCCCGAAGGCTTTGACAAGGACCGAAGAGACATGATCAGTATGTCATGTAGACCTGTAGACGGGTGATTCAGAGAAAAGAAACAGATGGAGATGTAAAACCATTCTGCGAGGGGGGGCTCTAAGTCTATACATTAGAGAAGTGGGGATGTGTTGGGGATGTGTGTGTCTCTCTCTCTCTCTCTCTGTGAATCAAGTCTGTTGCTCATTTGTGGGATGTTAACCTGCTATCATATTCCTGCAAATGGGTGGCAGCGTAAAATGCTTTTGGTGACACGATGCTTGTTTTGCGATCATTTTCCTGTTGTGTTGTAGTGGAATTTGGATTCTAGAAGACCATGAACCTACTAAGTTATTGGATCCATCTAGATTCTACGTTTGTATGGATCTCCCTCCTGGATTCGCTCCGCTCCAACCGCACGACTGGGTCAAAGCGTTTGGATTGGGAGCAGTGTTCAGGACAAGCCCGTGCGGTTGGATTGGGAGTACGATGCCATGAGGAAGGCAGCTTTTGACCTGGACACCGGATGGAGCACTTTGGTGAAAGAAGTACAAGAAGATTGTGTGCTCATGTGAGGTCCCGATGTCCCGACCCCCGCGTCGGCTCGAAAAAAGAAGGGTGACATAGGGTGACTGGAAGGGGTTGAACGCTGTTCTTGGGATGGAGCGGGCGGCTATGTTTTGTGTAATCTCAGTTCTGCTTTGTCAGTGAATGTGGCAATGTGTTTTCCTTTGTGATGCACAGTGGTCCTTGTTGCTCTGTTGCTATGCTGAAAGGCTGGACCAAGCAGCACACCAGCAGGCGAAGCTTGCTTACAAACCTGCCGGCACGCTGCTCAACAAAAGGCGCGGACTGATAGGTCTGACACTATGGCCAAGACTCATGAGTCTTCCACAGACACCACACTCAGTACAGTTGGAAGGACAATGCTCTTTGATTCTTCCATGGATGTCTTTTGAGCCACACCCATGATAAATACTCTTCTTTTGATAGGGTCACCTTCATGTTCTTGGGTTATCCCGACAAAAAGTGTGCCGCTTTGGTGTACTCGCACATGCAGAATGTGAGAGCTGGATGCATGAGAATTCCACTTTTCAGACATATCATACCGTTCAGTCAAGGCTCGCATGACATTCCGGATTCGGATTCAAGGACCTACTATGCAGCATGTGTTGAAGCTTGATCTTTATGCTGCCCGTTTTTCCAGCAAGCATTGACAGCAAGAGCCTGGTCCTGTTGGTCATTGTCCCTGTGAGGCCAGGGCAGCTCTCAATTCAAAGCCTGCAGGATGCGTGAGACACCTCAGAAGTTGGAGGGAGCGTTGCCAACACCCAGAGGCAGTTGCTTGAACAGCAGAGCTACGGTAAGGTCTCAGTGTTCATATTCTTCCTTGTAGAACTGATGGTGGCCAGGAGGTCGCAAGGGTATAAGGGTATAGGCTCAGATCTGCGCGTTTTCGAGAAGATGATCTTCACACCCTGAAGATTTCTGGAAGCTCGTTCAACTCTCAAGGCATCACCAGGCTTACTGTAGTTGGATGTTGAAGTGAAGCACTGCTGGTCTAAGGTGTTTAGTTGCGGTGGTCGAGGAGTGCTGGAGATGAGAGGGTGGAAGCGTTCGTGGCCAATTTGGTGCCACATGCTGCTGGGATCTCCCCACAACTTGGATGCTACTGATATCGTCATCATGATTCAATCCAGGGGATGGTTTAAGTACCATTTCCAGGACTTTGAATGTCATTTTCATGAGAGATTCTCACCGATTGTACCATCATTTGAGTGTGACTGTGACTCGATCACTTCAAGTATCGGCTGGCCCTGGTGCTAAATGACGAAGCTCAAGCAGCTTAAGGCTTGAGGCTCGGAATTGATTTAATGCATGGCAAACCTCTTCGTGACCGATGCGTTTTTGGCCACCTCTTCGTGTCCGCGCCTGTCGTTTTGGAGGATCTTCCGGCGGTGCAAGTGTGCCTGGGATGTGATCATGCCGGAGGAGGATCCGAATAAATGGAACCAGCCTCTAACAGGTCCCATGAAAGAGACAAATGTGTGTATATATATATATACACATGGAATCTATGACATTGGATTCATTGGATTGCATGAACATGCCCAGTGAATGCACTATATATAGATGGATCATCTCATGACGGTTCTTCCACAAAAGATCCCAACATGGGTTGGGTCTTATGTCCAAATTGCAATACATGAAATTGTTTCAGTGACATGTTCTAAACGGCAAATGCTACAGTTGTGTGGGTCAAAAGGATCCCACCTCGTCCGCCCAACGTTCGGGGGATTGATCGGTGAATTGCTTCCCATGGCCGATGGTGGGTTTATCTGGACTCCTTTTCTTTACATTCATTGGCAAGTGCTACTAAGTAGATGTGCATCGATGTGTCAGAGCCCTTCATTTTGAGAGAAGACACCTCTAAGACTCTAAATGAAGGGCGTCAAGTTTGGAAGACCCGCCGCCGGTTTTGGGCCACATTTCAGAACGCCGCCCCGGTGGTTCACACTGGACGGTCCTCTTTGTTCTCCGTTGACCGAGGCCATCTCAATGCATTGAGGTCACACGTGTCAGCCCCGACGGCCACTTGCAGACCGTCTGGGAGCCGAGCCGCGCCTTTTTCTCGCGCACGGTGCGTGGGGTGGTTTCCTCTGCCAAAGTGCGAAGCCACACGGTGAAACCGAAGGTTGGTGTGTTGGTTTAGGGCGTCGAATGAAAGGGTTTCTCGAAGTTGGGCTCTTGGGCTCACGCTGGGTACTTGTGGGCGGCTGCGCGGCTCACGAACCTCGAATGAGAAGGTTCGCCCTGTAACAGATCTTTATGTCTAGACAGTTACGAAAGTGAGCGAAGTGAGTTCAGGGGGAGAGGGCAGATGCGAATCCGCGTCAGCCCGCTGCTGTTGTTACTTTTTGGTGGAGGCTACGTTTGGTGAGTTGGTGATGCGTCGAATGCAAGATAGTTGATAATGCATTATTTGCATCACTGCATCACCCAGTTCATGTTTTGTTACTAGAAGGAATTCCAAACACAAGACTTCTGAGGGCACAAAAGGCTCACAGGCAGATGATGGTGTGCTAGCCAACTGCTTTTCAGTGGTTGTTCACTTCCACCCATGGTGCGGGGCTTTTCTTCTCGGGCGCTTGAAAGCTGGTTGAGCCTTGCATGATACAGTTCCCTCCTAGTCTGGCGTTAGTCGTAATCCCTTCTCAGGTGGCAAAAGGTATAGAATAGATAGAAGAGCTGCCTATTAGGGTCTCCTATTTTCATATCACATTCGCCCAGTTTGGACACGTCTTGATGACAAAAATTGTTTTGATGAAAGACATGCCCTGGGCATCGCTGCATTCATCGTGTGCCGAAGGTCTACAGGGTTCCAATTCCATCGCCGTGCGCATCATTGAGCTTTTGCTACAAGACTGCCTCCGCTTCGCACGCGCGCAGCGGATACCTGGCTTCTCTCATGAAACCCTTTGCGCTGGAAGGTGGATGCAAGTAAGTAGGCTCGGCTTGATTGACCCTTTTCAGACTGGTCTTCCGTCATCCTGATCTCCAAACAGCAACGCATCCGTCGCAGGCTTGTAGAATGCCATGTTTTTTTCAGGGGTGAAGACGATCCACCGAGACCAAACGGGTTCAGCGCGGCGCACCTTCCATCCAACTGGATGACCCGGTGACCCGTTTGGTGGAGGCAATGTGACTCTCCACCTTCTGCACCTCGGCCTTTATATGTGGTGATGGGGCTTAGAAGGCCTCATGGACTTCAAGGGGTTTTTGAATTCCTTCAACCGAACAAACCCGTCCACAATTTCAATGTTGAGTCCATCTCGCACCGCATTGGGGACAGGAGCTCGGCGCATCTCTTGTGCCACAACTGGCCTGTGCTTAGCGCATGACGCGCCGAGACGACTGCAGGGGACCGACTGTCTGAGTGTCGAGTCTAGTGCTTGGGGTGATCGGACTGCGGTGCTCCGAAACGATGCGCGGTCGGGTCTCAGTCAGGGCCCGGGTCGCCTTGGAAACACCAAGCGTTCTCGTGTGGTGAGACCTCGCGAGGTCTCGCTACGTGGAGATCTTTCGGTGAGAATTGAGACACCGACTTGGATCTTGATTTGGATCTTGATTGGAAGTTCTCTGGGTCTGTTTCCCGACGTTGAGAGGTGAATCACATCAGGTTTGAATCACAGATCGGTGATTTGTGGATGCTCTGATTCAATCCTCCTTGCTTGCCAACATTCAATCTTGAAGCTGAACTTGAGCGGGTCCCAAACGCAGATGAGCACTTTGTCACCATCTGCCAATATGACAGTAACTACCTGGTCAAACGACACATAGTATGCATATAGTGTGATGCCCTCTTGGTCTTAGTGTGATGTTCTCTTGGCCAAAAAGGGGTGAGTTGGGCCAGGTAGCTGCACAGAAGGTCTACAGCTGGTCTTCAATCTCTACAACAGCCACTCTGAATGGAGATTCTTTGAAGGATTTGCGTGGGAGGAGATTCTAGAGTGATCCAAGATGAGAGCACCATTGAACACTACATTTAAAGAACGTGTATTTAGTTGAAAGTCACTAGCAGGTTGTGCGAGTCCTTTTGATGTGAACCTAGATTCTAGATGGAAAGCTATGGAAAGCTGCTGGGTTTCGAAGCAGAGGAAGTTTCATTCAGTTTCATGATTTTCAGAACAATCTCGACCCTGGAAACCACTGAAATCAATCCATATTCGCATGGTTACAAGACTTCTCTATATTTGCCAGGGCTTCTCACTGGATGCCCGGTTTCCTGGGGCTTTTAGCCCGATGGCGGTGGTTTTTTGGACCGCTGGTCCTGCAAAGGTTTCTAGAGACTCCTTAGAAATACAAAATCGTCATGTGAAATTCCCACAGATGCCATAGCTCAGAATTTTCTAGAGGGTGAGTCTGAAGAATGGACGCTTCACAACAGTCCAACCAAGATTAGGGCTGGTGCTTGACGTTGTCTCGACGCAGCGATGTGAGGTGAGACAAGCTGTGCCTACGACAATCCTGGAGTGAGGACTGGCTGAGTGTTTGCCTTTTCTGTTCCTTTTTACCTTCCTCAACAGATCAACTGAGGAAAACAGAGGACAGACACAGCGACGGCAGCATGGCCACACGACTGCCGGACTGTCGTTCCGGTCCCAGCCCGCCGACGCGACGATAACGTCGACGCGACGCCCAGGAGTATATCGATCGCCAGCGACCAATCGCTGATGGCCTCGGCGGAAAGCAACTTCTTCAAAGTCTATAAGGCACCGAGAAGACGATGGCCGTGCATCGGCGGGTTCAGCCAAAGCAAGACCCGTGGCGCAAAGCGAGCCACGACAAGCCGTGGCACGTGGCACCTTTGTTTTGGGGGCGTGTTTTTTTTGTTTTGCGGATGGGAGCTGCAGAGGAACGGTGTCCCACGAAGGGTTTTCAGTTAGAGATACGCTCACTTCTTGAATGCAGTAGTTCTTGTGAGTTGTGATGTTCAATTCTCACCGTGATTCCGTGGCAGTGGAACAAATGCGAGAGTCCGCACATGAGATCTTCACAGAGTTGTTGACGAGAGAAGGTGCAAGGCGTATGATGAATATTGCCATGTAATTATTGCTGGC